ACCTGAGCACTGGCGATATACCTGAGCACTGGCGATATATCTGAGCACTGGTGATATATCTGAGCACTGGCGATATACCTGAGCACTGGCGATATACCTGAACACTGGCGATATACCTGAGCACTGGCGATATATCTGAGCACTGGCGATATCCCTGAGAACTGGCGATATCCCTGAGCACTGGCGATATCCCTGAGCACTGGCGATATCCCTGAGCACTGGCGATATATCTGAGCACTGGCGATATCCCTGAGAACTGGCGATATCCCTGAGCACTGGCGATATCCCTGAGCACTGGCGATATCCCTGAGCACTGGCGATATACCTGAGCACTGGGGAGATATCTGAGCACTGGCGATATCCCTGAGCACTGGCGATATCCCTGAGCACTGGCGATATACCTGAGCACTGGCGATATAGTTGAGCACTGGCGATATACCTGAGCACTGGCGATATATCTGACCACTGGCGATATACCTTAGCACTGGCGATATACCTGAGCACTGGCGATATCCCTGAGCACTGGCGATATACCTGAGCACTGGCGATATAGTTGAGCACTGGCGATATACCTGAGCACTGGCGATATATCTGACCACTGGCGATATACCTGAGCACTGGCGATATACCTGAGCCCTGGGGAGATATCTGAGCACTGGGGAGATATCTGAGCAATGGGGAGATATCTGAGCTCTGGCAATATCCAGTATAACAGTATTTCAGAGACTAGTCCTTCCATTCAGCATTGAAATACTTGACTGATTAATGGGGAGATGAACACTGCGCCAGTAGAATTGGGATGGCAATCCTGGCACTTAATTCAGAGGGACTTCATTATGAATACACATAATAAAGTGTAACAAGTGTTGCGTTTGTTGCATGACGGATCTGTCCTGGGGCCTGCCGAAAGACTACAGGCAGTGGCCCGGCGTCAGATTAGCCTGCGGTTTTCTACGTTTAAACTTTCTCGACGTAAACCAAGACAAATTACATTTGAAGCTGAAACTGAATCAAATGCCAGTCACAACTTTGTCTTGCCGGCGTGCTGTATGTTGGTCAGTCTGTGTGCATTGATGTGTGTGTGTCAGTGTGTGTGTCAGTGTGTGTGTCAGCGTGTGTGTCAGCACGACTGTGAGATATGTTGATTGTGTTTGTATTACATCACCAGGCATGTCCTTCTTTCAGATTCTCTCAAACTCCATTTCACTCTTTAAACACACTCTGCGATCAGACACCTCAAGAGATCTAACAGAGGCTTAGGTGTAGGTGATTACATCAAAGCATGCACACACACACACACACACACACATCTACGAATCTTGTCTGTAGGACTGCCTGTGAAACCCACCATGCCAACTGTCTAAATAGAGTGGCCAGAGACATTAGACTGAGAGACATGGGAGAGACCAGAAGAGAGATGTAGGAAAGACCCCGAAACAGAAGTTGTAGCAGAGTTCTGGAGAGAGATGTAGAAAAGACCCCGAAACAGAAGCTTTTAAGCAAGACAATATGCGGTTGAAAATATGATCTATACTTAGCTAACAACTGTGTTTCTCTTTCACACACACACACACACACACACACACACACGGATACACACAATATGAAACACTGACACACCACACACACATCTAGCTGGTCTCCCGATCCTGTTATTGAAGCAGTTAGGCAATGTGTTCTCAGCTAATTCATGAGAAAAGGAAATCAATTGATCTTGCCACATTACCCTAACACATGAATCACGGTGTGTGTGTGTGTGTGTGATTAGCAACACACACACACACACACACACACACACACACACTGCATATATAAGCAGAACCCCAGCCCATAATAATGTCCAGCCCCAACAGGTACCATGCGGTTTAACACCTCTCTAGTAGGTGCGACGGATCTGTCCTGATCCGTATCCACGGTAACCAATTCTCCCTGCCCACAACCTGTGCAAGCCCGTCTCCACAGTAACACTGTCATGAGAGCGAGGAGCTTCACACATTCACACGCATTCCGTCTCGGGCAACACCGTATTAGCAGAGATTAAAGAAGCAATAAATAGATAACCGAATGTGAACGCATAAATTAGTACGCCTGTTGCTGAATAACAGCGACCGGGAATATGTTAGCCTGCCATGCCGTCGTGGAAGTTATTGAAGTGTTTGTGTTTGTGTTTGTGTGAGTGGCCTCTGTCATTCCAGTAAGATCATAGCAGGCTTACATTACCTCTAGGCTGGCAAAGGACACTTTGGTCAGAATGCGACACCCATCGTCTGCCAATAAGTGCTTGACTGTCCCTTTGTGTTGTCTCATCGCCCATCTGTATATCTGTGCCCTGGCTAGTGTGTGATAGATGAGTCTGATCTATGTGGAATGATGTCACAGGGAAATGCAGCTCTTTCACTTTGGCCTACCTTATATTATTAACGCTTAAATGAAGGACACCGATTACATTAAAGGTTTGATTTTACAAGAAAAGAAAGCACACGCATAAATGGTTTCCAAGCAAATCATTTTGTGTCATTTGATAAATTGGGTTAGCTTTTTCAATCGAATTTTCCACGGATAAAAATGAGTATACAAAAAGAAAAATGTTCTTATGTTTTAAATTAGTTTTTGTTTTTTAATGCCTGTCTTGACCAAATTGTAATCTCCGTAATTATTTTTTTCGATTAATGAAGGTTAAATAAATAAATAACTATTGAGAGCTATGTTTGTATTTCTTAGAATTGTACTGTAATTGCATGGGATTTGTGCCAACAAGTTGGCTGCAAACTGTAAACAATAAGTATATATTACATAAATAAATAATATAACAATATACGAATTAGCAAAAAACAAGAATGCTATGCGGTTACTAGCTGTGAAAAGATTTGGGGTTTATGAAAAAAGACAATACCCCCCAAAAAAACAAAAAACTAAATACACAAAACACATCATGCTCCTTGCTTGGGACTTGTTCTCTTCGAGTACAGCCGAGACCAATATTTCTCCATTTTTAGATGATATTATTTCTCCATTTTATGTAATTTGTATCCAAGTATAGAACATTTCGTACTGGGATCTTGAATGTTACCGCGGTAAAGTAATTACCTGCCTGTGGATCTGTGCCATTGGAAGCGCAGTTATTACCCGGTCTCGGCATTTCAACAGTGGTGTGTCAGAGGGTGGTGTGAATTTCTTAGGCTTGATTGCTGGCGTGGGCGGATGTTAGAGAGCACTGCCGTATATCTGTACGAACCTGCAACTTCTCCTGGCGGCACAGGTGCCAGCAGGCTCATTTTATTCACAAAACCAGTTGTGAATTAACTGTTGAAAGGACTTGTGGTATTACTCATTCCGTTACTACTGTGTTGAGGGTGAAAAGCATCAATTATTCAGTCTTTTAACGCATATATTTCACTGGGCCATTAAAGGTAGTTAGTCATCTAATACGAATGCATCACCTCACCGACAGATTATGTGCATAGGAAGAGAAATAAGAAGAGTTCCTTTTGGCTCGACAGTAATTCATTTGCTGGAAACGGCAGAAATTAATTTGTTGGGAACGGCAGTAATTAATTTGTTGGGGTTTTTGTCCTACAAGCACTAATAGAGGTTTGTTGTCAAATAAATAATCTCTTGACTGTCTATTTGACCTTTTCTTTTCCTCTTCCAACCTTAGCCATTACATTTAATGGGGTCTCAGAAAGACACATAACATTAGTAAATTATTTAAAAGTAATTTAATAAAAAACTATTTCTATATATCTTTATATATAACCAAGTACATTTTGCTTTTTTACCCAAATGGGTTGCATTTTGTTAGCACAAAAACAAATTCTGCACCAAATCAGTGCTAACATTCACAATATGTTGGCTTTTGATGTTATATGATGATGTGTGTGTTTCTATGTTTGTATGCAATTGAACAGAAGTGTAAAATCTGATCTACAGAAGACATGGCAAGTATTAAACAGAAACCTAGACACACACAAGCATACGTGCACACCAAACAAACTGTCACGCTTTTGGGAGGTGAGGTGCAGGACAGCTATCCGTTTTATACACGAAACGTAAAACAAACCGTGAACGGCGAAAAACAACTAACTCGTTTGAAATAATATTGCGCATACAAAGCGACCATAGAAAACATTCAAACAACAGCAACTCTCTCAATCTAGAAACACTCACCTCTCTATATAATTAGTGAACTTGGAAACAACCCGCAAATGTGAATCCCAAATATAGTGACTGAAAAGAATTGTTGAGGAATGTGTGCTAACAAGTCATTATTTATTGTGCACTGAATGACCATACGAAGGACCACATTCACATTTTAACAAAGGAACACTGCCCACTAACCTGAACTAAAGAACCAACCAGAGGGAGTGTAAATTCAACTGCTCTTGCTCTTGGCATCGGACGTCTATCTACTGCTACAGCCAACGCATCATCAGGGCTTTTTCGACAACTCCATTCGGGTTCAACAGAGAGCCATTGTAGGTTTAAAGGGTCTGTCAATGAGCCACAGCAGGCAGATGTGCTGAGTCTTCATTGGACTCTGGAAACTGTAAATCTCCCTGTTAGTCATTGGTCCAGAGTGCCACTGGCAGGTCACTATCCTATTGTTCAATTCCTCTTTGTTTCTTTCTATGTCTCTATCAGAGTGGTCAATCCCTCTCTCTCTCTCTCTCTCTCTCTCTCTCTCTCTCTCTCTCTCTCTCTCTCTTCTGGTATACAGTGTAGTGACGTGAGCATGGTCCTTCCACTGTGCCACTCTCGCCATTTGCAAATGAACGTGGTAAAAAAGAAACGGAGGAAAAACAATAAGTCAGAGAAAACACATGGCTTTGGGCGGCACAATAATCAAAGCGGACAGCTCTACGCTGGAATTATGTAGATGTCATGTATGTGTACGGTGATTACATTCTAGCGTGCCGTACATTCACACGCCTACACCCACAGATGCAGGCACATGAGACAGCAGGCAGTGGCACAAACATTATACTCAACCGCTGAGCAGTTGGTGTGTAGCTCAGTGCTGGAGCGCATGCTTTGTGTGTATGATGTCCTGGGTTCAATCCGCAGCTTGTTCTCAATCGGCCTATTAAATAAAGATTAAATAAACAAATAAAATACACGCTTGCATACACACACACACACACACAGTTTGCACGCACACTTGCATTTCCACAACATAAACACTTGCATTACACATACAGTATATAAATGTACACACACAGTATAGATAACCACTTCTACACACATACATGTAGTTAATGAAACCTCTCCAATGTACCAATATAATGTTTCTGCCTTTCCCAACCTTTTGACCAAAAAAAGTGCAACTACAAATCACGGATATTGTCATCATACTATCGTAGTATCGAGACCAATATATGAGCCAGAGATGAACTCACTGGAACACACTGAAATGCCATACTGGAAATCACATCTCACTCACTCTTCCCCGTCTCTCGTCCGTGGGAATACAACGAAAATGAAAAAGTAATATGTGAAAATACCCAATTGATGCCAAAGGTGTTGTTCTGGCTGATAGAAAAGCCCCCGATACATCCCTGATGTGGGTTGATGAATGTGGCTGTGGCGAAAATGTCTCCTGGTCGGTTTAAAATGGAGCAGTCACGCTGCCTCCCTCCATCATGGACTGACTAACATATTCATCTGTAGTGTCACGGTGGCTGTTTTATGGCCACAGGTGATTCACTGGTGACACTGGTAACCTGTAGCACGTGTCCCACACGGCATGCTAGGCCCTGTGCACTTCCCGCTAGGGTTGCCAACTGTCCCGAATTAGGCGGGACGTCCCGAATTTTGAGCCTAATTCATTTGTCCCGTTTTTTGTTCTACTACGCTGATCTAACCACTGATTCAACATCAGCAGTGCTGAATCTGATCACGACGACACTTGAGATTGAGAATGATCACTGACAGGGCGACACCTCACACCTGACCTATCATCATCATCCAATCACATATCACACAGCCAACCCCCCTCTCACGCGCATCAGTATACGTTAAGTAAATGCGCCCTTCGCTAAAGCCACGCCCGAAAACCGCCACAGGAATTTTTTACTTTCCCAAAACCTAAAACCCAATGGGAGAAATGCCGGGAGTGGACGGAGGCTCACTGACATACTTTAAAATACTCGTGTGAATACCCCAATCCGATCGCGGCTCTCCCCGTAGTCTAAGGACCGAACATCAGGGGGCTTGCCGGAGATCTCCAAGGAAAAGTTTGGTATGCGAACTTAATCAGTTCATTAACAGTAGTCATGTGCTCACTATAGGTACACTTTATTTGGGCAGAGAGATGTATTACAGAACACACATGCTCGAATGCTTTATACTTTATATTGGTCTCCGCATACGGTTTTTATTTGCTTTTTTAGGGACAACTACCGATGATATGTAAGCAGTAGCCTGGCGCGCTAAAAATATAAGCGGTAGAATGTTAGCATTGTAAAGTGGTCAAGCAAATGGCTTATTCCACAAGATTTGTGGATAAGGTGCTTGATTTACAATTATTAGATTATATTCACTTACCCTGTTGTGCATGAACATAGCTGTTCCTCAAATTGTGTGTTTCCCACTTGAATGGTTAGCGTATGCAGCTGCTGCTTGCGCTGGGACCTAGGCTTTAGCTTCAATTTTAAAGACGTTATATTCTCTAATCGGTTGCATATTATGTCGTGGATATATCTCAGAATGCATACTGCAGCCCCTTTTGTCTTGCCCTTTCAGATATTTCACCTGTTCGCCAAAAATTACTAAATATCTCATTGGGAATGTCTGACAACGGTGCATACACACTGCAATAGACGTGCCAGGCTCGAAAGCTTGACAGGCGTAGCAACAGTAACTAAGGAAGGCGTGGCTAAGCGAAGGGTCAATTCCACACACACACACATAAAGAACGTTGTTCAGTCGATAATCAAAAACAGCAAATATGTTTAATACTGCAAAAAAGAAAAGACTGTGCAGCTACAATAAAAATTGGGAAGAAAAAAATACATAGATTAAGCCCGTCAGCAGTGACGCAACAAAAGCCTTCTGTACTTTATGTCGCAGGGAATTTTCAGTTGCCCATGGAGGTGATAATGACTTAAGTAAACATGCTTCCGCAGAAATGCACAAGAAGGCCACATTAGCTAAAGGTGCAAGCAATATCTGTGGATTCTTCGGGGTAACTACTGTGGAAACTGACAAAAAAGCGGCAAGCGAAGCCTAAAAATCACACACTGTAGGCTAATTTCGCACAAAACCAGCCCACCTTTTGTCCCTCATTTCATAGTGACAAAGTTGGCAACCCTACTTCCCGCTGACCAATAAGGGATAAGGTCTGCGGCAGCACACTACGTAGTGTAATTGACATGCGTACAGTCATGTAGAGACACCCGCAATGTGTATAAAGAAGTGCCGGGGAAAACGACATCTACAGGAACGCGTCTTCCAAACACAAACACCTCCTCCACACACACGGACCTGAGCAGATGAAATAGAACGGAGCCACTGTCATTGTGTCATCCAATCACCTGACCAAGACATATAAATAGAGGACAGCTAATCTACTGATGTATTCTATCTCACGCTAAACCTTCTCTGTGTTATAGAGATACTGGACTATACTGGATTGTACTGGGCTATATTGGGCTGTACTGGACTATACTGGGCTGTACTGGGCTATACTGGGCTGTACTGGACTATACTGGGCTGTACTGGGCTATACTGGATTGTACTGGGCTATACTGGATTGGACTGGGCTATATTGGGCTGTACTGGACTATACTGGGCTGTACTGGGCTATACTGGATTGTACTGGGCTGTACTGGGCTATACTGGATTGTACTGGGCTATACTGGGCTGTACTGGGCTATACTGGATTGGACTGGGCTATACTGGGCTGTACTGGGCTATACTGGGCTGTACTGGGCTATATTGGGCTGTACTGGACTATACTGGGCTGTACTGGGCTATACTGGGCTGTACTGGGCTATACTGGATTGGACTGGGCTATACTGGGCCGTACTGGGCTATACTAGGCTGTACTGGGCTATACTAGGCCGTACCGGGCTATACTGGGCTGTACCGGGCTATACTGGGCTATAATGGGGTATACTGGGCTACATTGGGCTATACTGGGCTGTACCGGGCTATATTGGGCTATATTTAGCTATATAGGTTATGAATCATTCATCAGACAAGCATTAGTATCCCAAACTCCCACCAACCGGTTTCTCAACCCCTTATTAAACACTTTCTCTTTTCTTCTCCATCTGTATCTCTCCCAATATCCCTCCGCTCCGTAGCCTAATTCCTTTACTTGTCCTTCCCACCTTGTCCTTAATATCTGCACACCCAGCTCCCTGAACCATCTATTATTCAACGGGGGAAGTGAAAACACGCAAGGAGAGGAAAGGCGAGAGGGGGAGAGAGGGGGAGATCGTAAAGGGGGGGCGTAGGCAAAGGGAAAGTTATTGAAAGAGAGGAGAAAGAAAGAAAGAAAGAAAGAAGGGAGGGATGAAGGATCTCTCTGGTCTCTGCGAACCACTCGTACGATTTAAAAGTTAAAAGAACCGAGAGAAGAAAAAAATCCATTTGTTTCTTACAGGCTGCGATGGAATGAAAGTCAAGGATGGAGAGCCGGTCGAAGGAGGCGAGAGAAAATGAAAGAGTGTGTGACAGATCTCACAAATTGCCCTTTTGTAATGGCATTAACACCACTAACAATAGATTTAATTGGCTCGCATTCAAACGCTAATTTATTCTCCACCACCTGAAGTCTTACCTGAACCCTGACGGGTTCTTTTATCCCCGTAATGGCCGTCCGAATGGCCGTCCCCAACTAGTTGTGATGTACTCTCTTTAGAACACGGCAACCGGAGATAGTCTCCTCGGATTGATTAGTGAAACGTTTACATCCCGGCAAATCCGTCTTCTAATTGTCCTTGTGAATTGGTATCTCGCAAAACTGAAATAGCCTTCAGAATTGTGGCCTCAGGTTGATCCCGATATCGCTACGATGCTGCCCGGTTTATTGTTTCAGCGGTTATTGATATTGTATCGGGTCGGCGATGTAAACAAGCTGCTGTGATGCACAGCCTCGCTCGCAATGATTATTAGTAACCAAGCAACAGCACTGGCCCGTTTGCATTGCAAGGAATGACTCAGCAGCTGTTATAACTGCGTTATAAATTCCCGGGCCCTCTGACCACCGCGTACCGATTCCCTGAGCTGTATCCCGTCCGTATAAGTGAGGGTTTGAGAGGGATGGAAACATGCCGAGAGCTCCTACCAGAAGTACATAAGAGCATCGGGAGTGGGTTGAATGTACGTAATAAAACCGTGTGGTGTTTAATGTCTATATTGAATCTTTACCTTAACAGGACACGGGTGGCCTTGTCACTCGGCTGCATTTAACCTAAATGATTTGCGGGGGAACTTCTAAGGGTTTTATTGAAAGTAAAAGACGACAAGACAAGGCGATTATTCTCAGCGACGGTAGGTGACAAGCCACAAGGTGACTCTTTGTCCTTCTTCATTGTTGTGTTGTTCTGTTCCCTCCTTCGCTCGGCTTTGATGGACGTTTCCTTAGAGTTCGGGCCTCGGTAACGCTGGCATTCTGCACGGCGCGCGGACAGAAACTCGATACGGGCACGGAAACACGGAGAGATAATCCGAAAGGGAACTAAAAGAACGCGGAGGAAGCGATGGATGGAGCTGGGGGACTATTTGTGACATGACAGGAGAAGAACAGGCCGAAGCTAACTAACTAAAAGTAGTTATTTTATAACGGTTCATATGGTATAGCGTACGTTCAACCATGTTATCTAGAGTAGGCGAAAATAATTGTCAGTATCTTTTACGTTTAATATGAAATGAATCAAACAAAGATTGTCCACATACAGGTAACGAAGAAAGTTATTAAAGTGCAGCTAGCCGAGACACAAGCTGATGAATTGTTTAGCGACAGCAGCACAGCACACGCCATAAACCAACTCACGGTGAAGACTTCCAAAACACGGGGAAAAAAAGCACTCTCTCTCTCTCTCCACCAAAACCGAAGCCTTCACTC